AGGCGGCGACTTCCCACAGCATCGGAGGCACCGTGAGTTGTGTAAGGTCTTCTCAAGACTCATGAATGATTTCTGACTTGCATAGACATTGCGTCCTTTGGACAAATGACAGCCGGAAGACGTCCTTCGACCTCACAGGGAGTTGAGGTGTAATTCGCCCTTCGGTTCAGAATAGTCGAGACTGAGGATGTGCAAGATCTGGGCACCTGGCTTCACAGCTTGGTGACTTTGCGTTGTCGCGGCTTCAGGGTGCCTTATGTCTGTGTCTTTTGGATCGTGGGGTGCTGTCAAAAGGTCGAGTCTATCGAGCTAGCATGCACCTCCTCATTGCTCAGGCTTTGTGCAAAATGGGCTTTCTGGTGGCGCATGCCTGCTCGATCTGTCGACTCTGTCCTCGCAGTTGTTGTGCAAGTTATGTCTCTTGACAATGCAGTCGCAGGCAAGCAGCCCCTCCCGCCGCCCAGCGAGTCGTCCAGCCCTCTCTCGCCTGAGAAGATCGTGACAACTCCACAACCCACGACCGCAGCACAGCTGATTTAAGGTCTAGTCGATCAGACGGCATGCGTTGCAGGGCAGGCAAGAAGTGTACCCCCAACACCCGCAGCATCAAAGCCTTGAGCAGTTCCTCAACTCTCATCTGTTTAGGAACGGGATGGCTCCAGTTGATGCTTGAAAAACCATTGGGAGAAACGAATGGTCGAGGATGCTCGCGCCTCCGCGATGCACAGTGGAAGTAGGCAGGCTCAAGCAACTCACTGTTCAATCACCGAATCTACGGTGTCATCATCTGAAGTATGCCTGGGTCGTGCTGCGCCCCCTCTTGCTTTTGGAACGCTTTACAACACCCATAACAAGACTTCAAAGCAACACAGGGTGAGGAGGCCGGGGGAAAAGCGCGGGCAAGGGGGAGTGGGGTTACAAATCATGACGTGGGGTCCGTGAAACGTGTTTAGACATTGAAAGACTGAACAAGGAAGGGTGAAGGGGGCACCTCCAAACCTAAGTTATAGCACCTACGACTACACGCATTTTTCCACTACAGCCATCAAGAATAGCAGGACAATGATGTCAACCAAGGCGACAGCAACAATAGGGCCTGCCAACGAGACCCACGAGAAGGGCACGGAGGAGAAGTCCGGTTGTTCTGGGCTGTGCCTTGGCTGCACAAGACCTGAGCCATTTCAATGCCCAGAGCCTCACAGTCACAGGTGTTGCATGTTCCCTCTCTCCCTCTCTCCCAAATCAGGCATCAATGCGGCTATATGGGACTGATTGTAGGGGAAGTATAGGACCTGGTCAACTCGGATTTCACAAGGATGAGGAACAAGATAGGGCTTACAGTGTTTAGGGTTTAGTCTACATATACATATCCATACCCATATCCATATGTATGTGTGTCACCCAAACCTACAGGACGAACAATACAACTATTGGGCATCCTAGCTGAAATTGTATTTTATATCTGTGCATTCCCTCCACTTTTGCTTCCATGTATGTTGCACTTACCTGTGACGCTCAAGCCCTCTGAGTAAAAGGTTAGGCGCGCCCCTGCTCATGGCTTAACGGATAACAACTGGTGGATTTCCCAAACTATAGGTTATCAGCCGTAGGCTCCCCGGAGCTTGCGGCACCACTGACCTGGAGTTTCGACTCAGTGCATGGGTGACAGCCCCGAGCTGGTCCCCACCGAGGTAGCAACTGATCTCGGTACAGACGGATTTACAGACGCAGAATCCGCGGAGATGGACCTCTCAGGCACTTTGGCTATGCCACCGTCTACGGATGGCCGTGGCCTAGTGCTGGAAGAGAATGCAGCGGCAGCTAATGTGTTTGCGCCAAACGCACCTTCTCCTTTCATAGGACTAGGAGCTCCGCAGATCCACATGTACCGACAACAGTTTCAGCAGAACATCACGATAGGTGAAACACCTGAACAAACAAGACTTCTCCTCACTGAGTTAGAGAACGAAGCAGAGTCCAGGCACCAGAGGTTCCGCCTAGCTGCTGAAGAAGCCCACGATCAACAAATCGCAGATGTTGAAGAAAGGGCTAACAGGCAGCACGAGGAAGTCGTTGCTAGACTTGAGTCTGAAATTGCTAGCCAAAGGTATAGCTTTGTCGCGAGGACCCAAGGTCTCTTTTCAGAACTCCAGCAACAAAACCAGATAATCAATTTTCAGTCAGAACATTTTTCCGATGTTGGTTCGCAAATCACTCGTCTCAGGACAACTCTGGTTGAAGAGGCTGAACAAAACAAGAGGGAAAGCATTAACGAGATTGGGGAATGGTTTGGGAGAGAGCATGATGAGGCAATGAAAAGGTACCGCAGTATAGCCCTGGAAACTGAAGAGCAAATGAGGATTCAAAACATGACCCTCCAAGATGAATTGTCATCAATGGAGCGTGCGCTCCAGCTCGAACAGGACAGGAATTTAGGTATCAATCCCTCGCAGCAAGCTCAGTTTCCCAGCGCCACTGCCCCAGTTGCTCCAGCGCCAAGCGCCGGGCTTAGTGCTCCGTGTGCCCCTCAGTTTTCAGATCCGAGTGTGATTCCGATGAACATCAGGGCATTGTTTCCAAACTTCAGTTTTGGCGGTGTGGCAACTACTGCCACTCCAACGGGACCACAGGGTCCGGTTTCTGCCCCAGGGACCCCAACAGCATCAGCTAACGTCCCAAATCTAGGATCCTCTAGTGGTGGTTTGAACGCCGGAGCCCCTGGTCTTGCGGCCCCAACAGGCACGCCGGGAGGTCCGGCAGCTACTGGAGCCGATTTAATCGCACAGACGCAGCAAGCGCTGCTTGAAGCCGCCAAGCTTCTTAAAGGAGACAAAAGCGGTGAAGATGACAAACCAAAGGATAAAGAAGCTGAAACCATCCGCCTGCCGGATTTCCCTAACCCCGAAACCTACCGTGCATGGAAAACCGCAACACGGGAGGCAGTTAGGGCAGCTTCAGATAGACCAGATGAAGCCTTCTCTTGGATTCTAGAGGTGTATTCTAAGAATGCTGATCATGAAAAGCTTCGTGAACCCGGTAAGTTTCTCACGCTGGATACCAAAATCCTAGCCGCTCTCACTAAGGTCGCCAAAGGTGAGTTATCTCGGCAGGTACTCACTTTCAAGGAAACCGAGGCGGTTCAAGGACGTGCCGTACGAGGACGCCAGGTCTTGCTCATGTTTGACCAGTACTTCAAAACAAATGAAGAGGTAGGATCGCTCTATTCGGTAGAAGACCTTTTGAAGGTTACGCTGCATAGTGACGATCTAACCACATTTCTGCACAATTGGGAATCAGTCATTGCTGGCATGAGTCATGTCCCAGAAGAAATGGTTCTGCGTGACATCCTTCTTCGGCAAATCCGAAAGTCCTCAAGAATGAAGTATGATTTGGAAATCTACGACAGGGCGAAAGAGGGTTCTGCCTCACACTCCTATGCGTTCTTGTTGAAGTCAATCCGGGATTTGTTGACCCGTGAAAGGATGCGCAAGAACAGGGATAGAATCGCCAAGTCTCATGGGGACAAGTTTGGTGCTCCTGTTGTTGAAGGCGGAAGGCCGACACGCCCTCCGTCGAGGAGTGGCCGCGGAAGGGACCGCTCTGCCGGTAGCCAGTCTAATTCAAAGTCCAGGTCTCGCTCTAGGACCCCATCCAGATCTAGATCACCTAGCCGATCACAAAGCCCAAAGCCAGTTTGCTACGACTTTCAAAAGGGTAAGTGCACCAGGGGTGACAAGTGCAAGTTTTCGCACAAACCCCGTTCGCAATCCCCTGTTCGCACTGCCCCGAAGAAGAAACAGGTCTGCACGTTTTGGAAGAAGGGAAAGTGCACTAGGGGAGATAAGTGTCGTTTCTTGCATAGGGAACCGAGCCCTACTCCCTCAGGTGGTGAAAACGCAGCCCCGGCCCCTAAGGGCCCAGACAAACCAAGGTCCCCGTCACCCGCGCCAACGCGCAGGAAATCAAGCCGTGGACGCTCTAAGGAAAAGGACAGGAAGGCCGCATGCTGCATCTCGCTTGCGGCTGCAGCCTCAGCTGGTCCTGAGGAGAGTGAACCACAAGATGGGGACGAAGACTACTGGGAAGTAGACTTCAAAAGGGGTGAAGCTGTTAGGCACCATTTGAAGTACAGAAGTACTATGTACAAGCCCGAAGTGTCATGTCCTGTTGCTCTTGAAAGGTTGAAGGGTAAGGCCAAAGTGATCAAGACGCTTCCCATTTCTCCGTACACTGCAAAGGAGAACTGGGACTGGAAAGAGGGAAGAGGGGGAACCGGCGATAGGACGCCGTGGACCGGCAAGACTATTTTCAAGATCAAAGAACAAAACAAGAAGGTCAGGTTTTCTGACAAACCCAAAGTCAGGGAAATCCCCTTTGAGGGAAAGGGGTACAAACATTCCTACAAAGTTCGCAGGTACAATACTTGCTATGCTGATGCGGAAAACTGCCCTAAGCCTGACGCTAATGACCTTCAGGTTGCAATTAGGAACGCAAGGGAACTCAAGATGCTTCTTGCCCGGCATGAGGGGGGAGAGAAAACCGATTGCCACTTAGAGTGTGATGAGCCTGATTCTCTCATGTGTGGGATGTGCAAGCACGTTGTTGAGAGCTCAGAGATCGCTTGTCCAGGGATCGCCACGCCCTTAGAATTCCTTGCTGACACAGGAAGCGAGGAGGACCTTATCAGCGAAGCCGATCGTGCTATGTACTTCGGCGAAGAGCCAGTAGGCAACGCATTACGACAAGTGAATCTCATCACTGCTAATGGTAACGTCAAAGGTGACAAGTCGGTTAGGATCGACTTCCCGGAGTTTGGCAAAGAGCTAGAGTTCTATGTTCTCAACAGCACCCCTCCTGTTTGCTCCGTAGGCAGAAGGTGCATGGAGGACGGTTATGAGTTCCACTGGTACCCCAAAAGGCCGCCTTACTTTGTTGCGCCCAATGGTCAAAGACTAAGGTGTAGGATGAGAGTTATGGTCCCTGTGCTAGGGGGAGGAGCAATGGCCGCTCCAAGCGCTAAGGAGGAAGCCTCAGGTTCTCTCGGACGACCAGTTTTGTCCGAGGGTTTTCAGAAAACTGCCGCCCAATAGGGCCGGCCGAGGCTTTCGCAGGAGCAGCAGAGGAACGAGACCCAGTGGTCGAGCACCCCGATCCTGAGATCTCCGCAGCCATCAATGAGGTGCCGCCGATAGATATCCCCAAAGAGAAGCTCAAAAGAACAGGTTGGGTTTCGCACCCAAATGCTAAGTACTTGATTGTCGGACACAAACCAAAGACGTTTCGTACTGCTACACCAAGGTTTCCAAGATGCGAAGTCAGATCTACTTGGTTGTTCAGGGAAGGTTCTTGGGTCAAGGTTGAGGATAAAGTGAACGTCAGGGAGCTTGACAACAAAGTTGCCCGACTGGAGGGTAATCCAATCCTGAGCCTCACTATCTTCGAAGACCCCGATGTTGAACCTGACAGTGACAACGAAGGAAACGCCCGCAGTCTTGCAGAGGCCGATCTGAAAGCTGAAGCCAAATCTGTTGAGCACTTGTTCTCGCACAGGCCCAAGAATCCGTTCTGCGAGGTATGTCAGCGTGCAAAGATGTTGGCTCCCCAAGCCCGCAAAAAGGGGGGCTCAAGTACCATTGTGTCAAAGGCCTTTGGGGATCACATCACGGTTGACCATATCATCACTCGTGACCTTCGTGATCATGGGTTCCAGGACGAAAGGGTCGCACTTGTTGTTAAGGACGTGTTCACCAAATTTCGTTACGTCTACCCCTCTCCGACTAAGTCAAGCGATCAGTGTTTTGAAGACCTTCTTCACTTCCTAGGTCAAGAAGATGCAGTCGGCGTTTTCTACTCAGACAACGCACCTGAACTTCATGCCGCTATCAAAAGCCTAGGTGTCCGACATGTTACATCCCGCGAATATGTGGACACCAACAAGTCGGTAATCGAAAGAGAAATTCGGACGATCTTGGAGGGTACCCGCTCCAACCTTGTTCAGGCGGGTCTCCCCGACAAGCTTTGGCCGTTGGCCGCCCAACACCATGCGATGGCACTTAATGCAACTAAGAGGCTTGACAACGGGATTGTTCCCTGGGAGGCCAGGTATGGGGAACCGTTTTCAGGGATAATGATTCCTTTTGGTGCACGTGTGTTGTACTGGAACAACCCCAAACAGAACATTCCTGCGAGCTCCAAGTTTGCGCCGACTGGTGTTGAGGGAATATTTCTTGGTTACCACATTCAACCTGGCTTCGTTTGGAAGGAGGAATACCTCGTTACCCCCGTCAAGGGTTGTGACTTTGCGTTCGAAATAGGAAACTTTCCCATCCTGAGGTCGAAGCGAATGGAGCTGTTGCCCGGGGATTTCACATTCCCAATGAGATCCGAACAGCTCGCACTGCAGGAGAGCCTCCGTAAGCCGACCCTCGCAGATCAGGACTGCTCGTGGGGAGACACAGAAGGTGCCGGAACACGCGCCCCGCCTGGGGATTCGCCGGACGAGCCTTTGCCTCCGCCCGGTGTGCCTGATTTGGACGGCTCCGATTTGAAGGATCGTTTGTCCGAGTACTTGGACCAAGTGGCCAAGGAAAACGAGGACTATGTTCCCGAAGATGTCGGAGCTGTGGAGGACTGGCTGGGGAGGGATGCTCCTGGATCTTCTAAGGAAGCAACATCCACGCCTAAGGCCTCATCTACTCTACCAAGACATGACCCCAAAACCATGCCTGACGGGAAGAAAGTCCAAAGGGTATAACTGGGACGGGGTGAGGTTGGTTAGAGATAAGAAGGGTTCCAAAAGGCCACCTGATACCCCTTCGGAATTTTGGCACATGTATTCCAAGGCACAACGGGAGGCTGACATTGAAAGATTCGAACGCAAAAAGGCTCGTGAAGCCGAGGAAGATGCTCGCAAGGCCCTTAGAGACTCCCCGGCCATGCCTGTCATCGCCGAGCCTGACCCCGAGCCCCATAGGGACCGCATGGCGTCCTTGTATTGGGCCAAACTTGGTCAGGTTGCGAGTGAGATGTTTGCTGTTGTTGCCAGGGTTGTCGGGCCTAAAGAGATCGAAAGTACTCCCGCTGCTAAAGAAGCCATGGACCGAGAGTGGAAGAAACTTGCCGATAAGTCTTGCTGGCTCGAAAAGAAGGTTCGAGAGTACCGGGATGTTGCCGCGGAAGCCAAACACAAGAATGTCAAGGCCCATTTCGGGAAAATCTTTGAGATTTGTTCGGTCAAGGGGGATGAACTCCCGGACGGGCACCCCCAGAAGAAATGGAAGGGTCGTAGTGTCTTCCAGGGCAATAATGTCCAGGACGAAAACCACGATCACGCCATTTTCGCCGAACTAGGATCAAGCCCCGCTAGCATGGAGGCCGGGAAAATCATCGATGTGTTTGGTAGCCAACCCGGGTACGTGAAACAGCAGGCTGATGGCATCGCCGCATACACACAAGCCCTTTTTAAAGGCATTGAAACGTGGGTTCGTCTCCCTCGAAACAGATGGCCTAAAGAATGGTCTGGGTATGAAGATCCTGTTTGCCCACTCAGGCTCGCTTTGTACGGCCACCCTGACTCAGGTGGTATCTGGGAGAGGTACTGTACAGAACAGTTAGAGAGTGTTGGTTTTACTGCAGTTCTACCCGACATTTGGCATTCTGTTTTCTACCATGCTGAACTAGATTTGTTGCTTGTTGTGTACGTTGATGACTTCAAGATGGCCGGCCCCCAAGACAAAATCAACAAAGGTTGGGAGTTGATAGCTAAGGTGATTGACATGGAACCAGCCGAGGTCTTGGGGCGGTACTTCGGGTGTCATCACGTTGAGCAAAATCAGGTCCAGCTTTCACGGGAGGACCACCCATTTGCTTACGTCTTCGACAAGAAGCACGCTAGCCCAGCTGCCGACTACCAAGTCCGGCCGAACCGCAAAGAGGACTTCTGGGAGGTCGACGCTGAGTTAGCTGCAGTCGTTAGGCATCACATATATCCTCGTAGGAAACTTTATGTGCCTACGCAGGACGACGTGTCGAAATTCCCCCACATAAGCCGTCAACGAATCACGGTGTTTGATGATGGTAGGGACCCTATCCATGATGACTTGAATCAGGGGGGCCCCGCGGACCAATCAGGTTGGTGGACTGGGAGAACATATTTCCCCATCACTGAGGTCAGTGACGAGGACTTTTCTCATGCTCTCGCAGCTAAGCACAATAAACCCAAGCGGTCCAAAGCCGAAGCTAAACGAGAAGCACGACAGAGTAAGTTCAAGAGCACTGAATCAATCAGTCAGGGAAAAACCCCTTCCATGACTGTGCCCGTGAACGTTGTGTACTACGACATGCGAGATTTCTTGGTGTCCTGTGTTGATAGGTACTGTGAGTTGGCCAAGGTCGACAAGAAATCCCTGAAGCACGTAGCGACTCCTTTTCATGAGAACCGGGTAGCAAAAGTTCTGGAGAACAATGAACCTAGTGGTAAGCTGCAACCTATTGCTAGCCGTGTACTCATGAAGGTTTTGTTCGCTGCGAGAATGGCCAGGTGGGACTTGTTACGCGCCACTCAGGCACTGGCATCCAGAGTCACCAAGTGGTCTCGCGACTGTGACGTTGCTTTGCACAGGTTGATCAGTTACATAAACTCTTCTCTTGAAGTTCGGATGAGGGGATTCATAGGGGATCGCATTCAGGATTGTAAGTTGTGGATGTTCTGCGATGCTGACCACGCTGGTAGCCACGACAGTAAATCCACTTCAGGCTGTGCCCTTTACTTGGTTGGCCCCAATACTTACTTTCCCCTAAATGCTTTTTCCAAGAAACAGACCAGCATCACTACTTCAAGTACGGAGAGCGAGGTTGTGGCTGCCAACCAAGGTATTCGTGCCCAGGGTCTGCCCAGCCTCAGTCTTTGGATTTTCCTGTGGCGTGAGGTTGCGAGTAGGACCGCCAGCTACCAAGCTAGGCCGAAAACCAAACCTAACCAAAGGGAAAACGACATCATCGCACGAATTGATCCTGAACTTGATGAGATCCGTTATGGTGAGTGTAGGGCGGATGGACAAAGCGTTTCCGATTTAAACGGTCTCAAGGTCCACCTTAGCCCCAAGTTTGCTGTTCAACTCCTTGAGGACAACCAAGCTACCATCACTATTCTCCTCAAAGGTGACAGCGAAAAACTACGTCACACCGATCGGACTCAACGCATTTCGTTTGCTTGGATCAAACAACAGTTCGAGCGTAACTTCTTCGAAATGATTAATGTTGACACCAAAGAGCAAGTAGCTGATATCTTTACCAAACCTTTCGCTGACCGAGGTAAATGGGAACATGCTCTAAGGCTCATCGCGCACGTCGATGCCCCTCTTCAGGGGGGACGGCAATCTAAGGCACACGAGTCCGATGCTCATCTCATCAACAAGCCTGTCGTTCATGCTCACCCTGTGGTGAAGCCGTCGGGCGATCCTTGCGCAGTCGCAGCTGAGCTTACCAAGGACCGTGACTTCAGTACTAAGGCTTTGTTGCGTGTAGCCCAGATCATGTACCCCAACAAAACCAAGCGAAAGATGATTAAGCTTGACAATCGCAGCTACTACCATATCTTTGGGCAGTGGTCTTACGGAGGAATGCAAGGGGTGACTAAGGCAACACGTCGGTGGCCTCAGATTGCCCGCTTCCTAAATGGAGTTGTGCAAGCCCATGCTCCTAAGGACTTCACATGGAACTCGGTGCTGCTTAATAGCTGTACTAGTGCCTCTGTGCACAAGGACCATGGGAATGCTAAGGATAGCATGAGCTTTGCCCTCAGTGTCGGGGATTTCAAGGATGGTGAACTGTGGTTTGCGGACCCCCTTGTTCCATCTGAAGATGCTATTGTTAGGGTCGGGCCAAATGGTAAGCGCCTTAAGGGTCGTGCTGTGTCCACCCTGAACAAAGCCATCATTTTTGATCCGCGAAAATTACACTGTGTGTTACCTTTCACTGGAACACGTTTCTCCATTGTTGCGTACACCTCCCGATCCCAAGACGCACTGCAAGATCAAGAGCTCAATTCTTTGAAGACGCTTGGATTCAGGCTGCCCCCACGTGCGGCCAGCGCTGCTTCTGCCCGAGAATACTCGAGGCCGTTGGGGTTCAAACGAATCATAGTCGAGTTTTGTTGCTCCCCCAACAGCAAACTAGGGCAGGATCGTAGCGCAAGTCAAGGATGTTATGTGTTGCGAGTCACCAGTGAGGATGATGTCTTGAAAGACTCTACATTGACTTCAGTTGTTCAGAAAATTAGTACCCTCTGCGACGAGGGGGGAGCATCTAAGCCAATTTTAGTTTATGCGTCGCTTCCGTGTACTGGTGGTTGTCCGTGGAATCGCATGACGCCTGACAGCCCAAAGTGGGAACAGCATCAGGAACTGTTTTGCAAACTCCTCAAGCAGTTCCGAAAATTCATTAGGAAGCTCAAAGAGTACAAACCACAGGTTGCCTTCGAACTCCCTAAGGATTGCGACTATTGGAAGTGGGACCATGTTCAGCATATGGTTAATGATTTTGGACTTGAGTTCTACCGTTGCGATGGTTGCATGTTGGGGATTACGAATTACCAAGGATTACCACTAAGGAAAGCTTGGACCATTGCGTCGTCGATTCCATTGCAGCGGCTGGCAGCGCACAAGTGTGATCGCAGTCATGTTCATGGCGAGTCTAGAGGCCAGGACCTTAAGGACAGTGAGAACTATTCACATGCCATGACTGATTGCATCCACATTGATTGGAAAAGCTTTTGCGATAGGCGTTCTAACTATGCAGCTTGTGCACAACAACAATTTTCGTGTGACCACAAACACGTTTGCACTCGCAAAGCTGAACAAACTAACGCATTAGCTGCCTGCTGCATTCTCGCGGCAGAGTTCTGCGCGCCGGACATGGAAGCCACCAACGCTGGAATCGTTGCTCCGACGGAGGTCCTGCGCCAGTGGTGGGATCGCCGGTTATGGGAGACTTCATTGTCTTCCGAATACCGCACCATGGCGCCTTTCCAGGAGGATGAAGCCAGCGTGAATAACTTTTACAAGTATTTGCCGCGGCCACTGGCATGCGAATATGCCCTCAGTGACGTCAGGGAGGCTGGTTTGGTGGCCAAAATCGGAAAGCTCACCGATCAAGGTTTGGCCATGCTCCAGCCCGAGTCTACTCGAGGCCGTTTGCGCTACCTTGTCATCGTCGCAGACTCTACAACTACGTTCCTCACTGAAGGAAATTGGAAGACAGATCTGCTGGCAGACATCAAGGCCAACCGCGGCAATGCCTTCCCACATCATCTTGGCGTTGAGTACATTCCTACATGGGGTGCGAATCTCACGCGGCTCGTAGAGCTCGCCGTGGGAAAAGTCACCCAACTGGAGCGTGAAACTGGCGCCAGTGGTCAGGTGAGCATTGACCTCATGATGATCTGGAACGGGAACGAGTTCGTCGGCGAAAGAGGTCTGTTTCTGGACCCAGGCTTCAAGAGCAAGACGGAGTGGCTTCGTGGTTACCCGCACATGGCAAAGGGGAGCTGGGAGTTCATTGGACCAAAGGTTCTCCGGGAGATAGGCAAGTTGGCGGATCTACAGTCACGGGCGTCAGTGGGTACTGTGCTGCTCACGTCTGCGACCGACGCTGCCAGCTACTGCCTCCCGCGCGACTGGGGTACCATCATGGCGGATTTGCTCGACTATGCCGCCCAACTTGGGCTGGCCGTCAAGCATTTCAATACGCCTGCAAGCCAGATCCGCAAGTTCGATCACTTTCACTTCCAGGAGGACAGCGCCTATCGTTTGCAGCTGTTGAGGTGGTTGGGTTTTACCGCCAGGATTATGGTCCTTCGTCACCAATGCTCCTTCTTCAAGGAAGCCGACATCGACCTGATCCTGCAAAACTACGGCCACGTCTCAAAGCCTAACGTCAAGTTCGCTGTGGACGTGCAGGTGGAGGAGAAGCTCCTGAATCACTTCCGTAAAGGAAGAGTAGCGCCCACATATCAGCCGCTTGTCGAGGCTGACCCGTGGGACGACATCTACTTCCAAGGACCCCAGGAGCAGTTCCCCGACACCGCGCCGAACCACTTTGTCCACCGGGACTTCAAGGACCACGTTCACCTGGGAGATGGGGAATATGTTACCCGCGAGGACTACGACGAGATGATCAAGAAGAGCGAGGAAAATGCCCCCCGTCCAGGGGAGGCCGTCGTTGTTCCGTCATCGTCGTCAACGGCGCGGGAGACTAAGGAGAAGCTTTTGGCCAGGGGGGAGGTCTACAGTCGTCAGCGGACCGACCCTGAGTCCAGTGCCCCCAAACGGGCAAAGAAGGGCCCACACGAGGCTGACTACGACGAGCCCATCAAGTCCGGCTACTACACAACCGATGACGATTGGTGCCTCGTCGACATGCTGGGCCTCGATTGGGACGCAATCCATTTATGCCCACCGGAAGGTGAGGCCGAGTGGGTTGACATCCTTCAGGACGAGATGCCGAACTTCAAGTATGTCAACATTCCCCAGCATCACAAGACTGCCTTGTCCGGCATTGTTCGTGGCAAGATCGTCCCGGGCCTGCAGGGCGATGGATTGTGGTGCTCTACGAGGAGGATTCTCGAGGCCTGGAACAAGAAGACGAACAAGGATTATGGCCTCGGGATGCTCCTCACCGTCGTCAAGAACGACAATCGCAGCAGGTTCCAGCTGCGAATCGACCGCAACCACCCCCTCGCCGAGTACTACGGCCTAGGAGGGTACCCTACCCTTATTAGGGCGAACCAAGGCATCTCCAAGGATGCTATGAAAGGGGTGCCCGACTCGATCCTTGCTGAGGCCTGGTTCAGCATGATCCCAGAAGCAGAAATGGATGTGCATTCTGCCACCTGGGAAGGTCGGCCGGTTTTGCCCCTGGAGAAGATTCCACGCAGGCTCTACCACCGCACCTACAAGGATCGAGCCTTTGCCATCTTGGACTCCTGCTTTATCCCCGGGCACCACACCGCGAATGCCTTTGTGTATTTTGCCGACCGGGAGGTAGGGCCGGGAGAAAACGTCCCTGGCGTGAGGAGCGATCGTCCCGTCGAGATCGTCATCAACACCATGGAGGCCCTCAGTCAGGGCGCCGGACTGTTTTACTCCCGATCAGACGGCGTCCTCTGCC